TTCATTTTCATCCTAGTAAGCAACAGTATTAGGAATCATTATAACTCACTCCAATGTTTGCCAGTGTCAAAAGTGTTTTTCCACATTGACTTGTTCCCAAAAGACTCCATTGGTTTCTAGGCCTTGCTTACAGAAGAATATTGTGCAGGTTTTATTGGAAGTGTGCCGCTATGATGATTTGAGTTAACTAGTGCAAATCCCTACATCAGTAAAATCTATTCATTAATATGTAGCAAAACCCCCAGTTTTTCTTTTTTCTATTATTTAAAAATACATTCCCTCCCCTTCCCCAACCATTTCTGACTTTTTCTCTGCCCTCCCTATCCCTTATAAATAATTACAAGTAGTATTAGGTAAGCTAAGCTAAGTTCTTATACTCCCTTATAGTAACAAGCCCCTTTTATATTGTAAATAATGTTCTATTATGTTTGTATTGATTTTTACTATTTTATATTGTATTATATTATGTTCCTATTATGTGTGTATTCATTTTTACTGTTTTATAATGAATTCATATGATTTAGGCCTACATGTGTAAGTTAGCATAAGTAATGTCTAGTTTCCATTTTGTATGTCAAGCCTCCATCTTGTGTCCTCTGCCCGGGTGTAACCTATGACTCATGTCTAACCAGTCTCATGTAAATTGATTCCTGAATGAATGGGGATGAAAGAGGCTGCTTGAGATACAATGGTAGCAGGCCTATACTGAATAATCAACTCAACGACTGGACCATCAGCAAAATGACCAGACTTTTGTCTTCCATTGGCTCACTCAAGAACCATGGACCCAGCATTTGAAAGACAAAGACCCTACAGAGATCAGCCAACCCACTATTGCAATACAGACACCTGGAACTGCATGTCCTTGTCTGGAGTGTACATGCTCAGTACATCAGGGCTGACCCTTGCCTGGGCATGCCTCTACCACTAGGGTCATAGAAGGTCTGCCCCTATAAAAAGGGGTAGTGAAGACAGACCCAGTTGGACGCCCTCTCCATCTGGACCAGCACCACGCCACACCACCTATCCACCCAGAGGCCCTGCTGGCAACTCCATTCTGGATAACACCTTGTTGGAGAAGACCCCAACAGGCCATTGAGGATCAACTCACAGCCCAGGATAGGTAGCTATCACCCACCTTCCTTCCCCAAGCAAAGGACCTGGACTCTGTCCCCATACACCTTGACTTCAATCCCTCCACCAAGCCTTTTCCTCTCCTGTTACCATTGTGTGGGTATGTATGTGAGTGTGTGTGTGTGTGTGTGTGTGTGTGTGTGTGTGTGTGTGTGTGGGAACCAATAACTTTGTGGAGCTGTGTAGTGTGTTGTCTGTTTAATAAACCTGTTATTTTGAAACCCTGAGTTGGCTTTTTGTCTTACTGACCTCCTGACCTTCCTCCTTGATTTCCCAGCTATCTCCCAGCTTTCTGCCTCTCAGTTTCCTGGCTGTCTCTTCCTTGCCACCGGGCTTTTCCCCTTGCTTCCACCCCAGCACCAGGTGACCCAGAGTATCCCCGGGGCACATTAACCTCAAGTAACCCCAGCTCCCCTCCAGTCTGCTGATTCTAATCCTGGCCTTGGCAACTTTCACTCTCTTATTTTCCCCTCTCTCATTTTAACCCCCATTCATCTTCCTTCTTCCCCTCCTTTTGGAAATCTTTGACCCTTGACTCCCCTCCCATAGTTACCAAGCACCCTAGGTATCCCAAGTACCCTAAGCACACACATACACACCACACCACCTAAGTTAGGAACTCACCTGTATGTAGGTGTGTGGTGTATGATATATATCATCGTATGTGAATTAGTGATCCATGTATGTGTACTTGGTGTGTGGGTATTGACAGCTGATTTTGTCTAATTTTTGGTGTGTATAGTGTGTATGGGCTGGAATTGGTGATAGGTGTGCATGTGCTTAGACTGGCAATCTTGGATGTGTATGTGCCTGAGTTGGTACTGTGTGTATATGCACCTGGTGTCTGTGTATGCGTCTAATTGATTTTTGTGTGTATATGTGCAATTGTGTCACACTCTCCCATCTAACAGTGCGATTCTGAGATCCTGAGAGTTGTCCTGGCCCCACGTGACAACATTTAGACTGGAGCAAAGGGTGTAACCAAGGTCTTACTCCATGATGTGCTAGTGCTTGGGACCAAGCCTTAAAAAGGTTAAGATTTAAAAATGTATGTTACCTAATTTAAAAAAAACAAACAGAACATCAAAGCTGCACAGTTCTGGATTCAGCATGTGGTTTAGCATTTTCTCTCTTGATCCTTTGTTACTTCATCATTAGAAAAAACAGCCTCAGAAAGCCAGGTTTGTCTGTCCAAGATAAAACATGGCATTTTATTGCCTGGGATTGCTCAATTACAATTATTCTGAAACTCAGTTACAATTATTTTGAAGTAAGGACAGTGCAGATGCTTGCTAGACAGCCAAACAACTAAGGTGCTCCAGGATGACATTGCTCTTCTCCTCCCAGCACCACCTCCCAGGGGGTATGAATGCAGTGATCACTTGCATGGATCCAATGAGCCCAAAGAAGCTGAACAGGTTTTGAGTAGTGGACAATAACAGAATTCAATTCTGCTGGATAATGAAGGCTGAAAGAAGCAGAGATAAAAGAATTCTGGCAAATAGCCCAGTGGTGACATTAGTGGGAACTGGCAGTAGAAAAAGCATCACAGGGATTCAGTGACCAACTATTAGAGATCCTGATGAGTTTTATTCTGAGCCACTGTCACTTTCCATTATCACATCAGCTGGCAACTTCCTCACATCTGCCTCATTGCCACCAGTAGGACCTTCTGAACCTCTCATAAACTCTCTAGACTCAAACCACCCTGGAACCTTATTTTCTAAGTCTTTAAAAATGGCCTCCATGGAATAGCCCCACTCAATAATGCTGTGCTCTTGTGCATGGTAATTGTACACATAGCCACCAGCATGCATGGCAATCAGTTGCCCGGATGCACTGAACACAGGTGAACCAGAAGAGCCGAAGAAGAAGCTAGTGTCATATGTGACTTTATTCTTATCGGAAACCACTTCCTGGAAACTCCTTGGGGTGAATATATGGATGCAACTGTCATGGTATGGACCACAAGTGGTGGGACTGCAGTCCTCTTTGCGCTTTTCCTGCAAGCGTTCAATGCACCTCCAGCCCCGCTCTAGTGGAGTTATTATAGAGCAGCCATCTGTGGATTTCTCTTTTCCATCTGGATGGCCAATAATATAGATCAGGCCAAAAGGGGGTGGGGGAGAATAATGTTGTGCCAATCCACCTGGGAATTCAGCATTTTCTTTTTTCAGTTTCACGACAACATAATCCAGAGTGTTCTCTACCATTTCCAAGCATGGCTCAACAAAAAACCAGTCATCTTTTATTTGCTGATCTTCATAAGAAAACTTAATCCTGACAAATTGACTAAGTTCTGCCCAGTACTGCTCAAATCCTTGTCCTAGCTGCTCACTGAATATATGATAGCATGTGAGGATGTACCCCTCATGTAAAGCAAAACAAGTGCCAGAACTCGCCATTCCATGGTAGTTCCACTTTATATACCCCACTGATGCACTGCGCTCAGCCAAAAGTTTATGCACACGGACTGGAGTAGAGTTCTTTGTTGTCTTACTAAACTGCTTTCTATGTAGTTCTAACACAGTTTTAAGGGTCACTTTTTTCTTTCGTTTCATTGTGCGCTCTTCCACTTCCTTCTCAAAGAAGTATTCAATCCATTTCTTTTGCTCCTTCAACTTAGGATCCAACTCAGACTGTTTAACAGAATGACTGGCTTGGTCGTGCTGTCCAGGAGAGGCTGTGGCAAGCTCCTCACTCCTTGATGGGCCAGTGGTGATGTTACATACATTGTTACAAAACTCCACTGTATAAATCTTATTGGCAATTCTATCAACATAATAGTTATTAAGTGAAACCACATTATTGTCATCCACCAGTTTCCATTGTCCTTCCTTCAGGATGGGGAGAAATCGTCCATCCTCGCATAGAGCTTCCTTAATGGTCTCCCCTTTTGGGGCAAAGATACAGACATTGGCACGTGACTTTACAATGTTTTGGCATAAAAGTATCTTCCTAGGTTGAGTACCAGCGTTCCCTCCTTGCCTTCCACAAGACTTGATATAAAATATGACACATTCAGTCCCTGTGCTGTCATACTGACGGTATCCCTGCTGTCCATCTTGTTGATTTCCCGTCACTTTATAATAGTTCACTGTAAAGTGGGGCTCAGACTCTTGAGGGAGGCACTTGAGGGGCATTCCCAAATTCACAAACCCTTCAATCATATCTTGCCCCAGCAGCCATATATCCTTGTTTTTCTTTGTCAGCATCAGACCTGAATTATCTTCCCATTTCCTCATGGCACGGGATATACTTTCATCTGCTTCACCTTCTATTACATGCTTCACACCTTTTGCATCAATTGTGAAGCGTACCAAACCCTGGGTATGCAATTTAGGGGTTCTTATACCATTACAGTTTTGATTTTCTGTGGAGGGGCTAGATGGCCTTTCAGTCTTTAGGCTGAGCAGGGCAGAAGACAGATTCTCTGGATCTGTGGGCTGAGCAAATGAAACAACAGAAAAATATGATTCAGCCATTTATGCTTTGTGTTGTATCCCAGATGACAAGAGAACTCTTTTAATTCAAGGTTCTAATAGGTACCTAACTATGAACTTTACTGATCATGAATTCCTTGAAACATCTTTCACAAACAATTCATCAGTCTACTTAGTTCTGCCCCACTGTCCACTATTTTGGTGTAAAGCATGATGCTCTGTAGTCTTTTCTTTGAAAAGACCATCAGTTCTGGTCAGATTGGGCAAGAAGACATTTTTTGCTGTTGCTGGTATATCTACAGGGAGTTGTATCCCATAGTTCCTCTTGCAGCCCCTTTACTAAAAAGCCCAGATTCCACTACTAATATACAATGGGATTATATGAACATTAACATTTTGCTGGAAAGTGCTAATGCTGTCATCAAGTGAGTTTGGGACCCAAATACAATCAATAATTTAGCTGAAGGCAAAGGCCATTCTAAGCAGTCCGGGCCAAATAATGAAGCAAAATAGGGCCTTATTGCATGGAGGGGGAGGCAGGGTGTGTGTGCAGCAGAGTTTGCCCAGGTTACATGGCCTGCAGCTGCCCCTGTGGCACTCTACATGGGGCTGAGCCCTTTCCAGGGCAGCCCGCACCTGCCAGCTTGGCCTCAGCCCAGCCCCAGCCCTGGCCAGTGGGCAGCTTCTGACGGGCCTGTTCCTGGTGTGGTTGCAGCTGGCCAGGTGCTGCTCTGCTCCTCTCGCCTCCAGCAGGAGCTGCCTGGCTAATGCTTCCCTCCCCAATCAGCCCAGCATGAGGAGTGGCACAGCAGGGGCAGGGGCAGGGGCAGGAGCAGAAGGAGCTACCGCTGAAGTCAAATGGAGCAGCAGCACCTGGCCAGCAGTAAGCACACCAGGAACAGCACCACTGGAAACTGCACGTGCTGGCCAAGCCTGGGCTGCTAGAGCTGCTCTGATCCCCTTGTCTCCAGCGGCGGCTCCTCTTCTTGCTCCCACTCCTGCTGTGCAGCTGCAGGGTTGGGGAGCTTCAGCTGGGTGGCTCCTGTCTCAGAGCACGGGGGTCTGGCTCCGGCTGCCCTCCACCCATTCCACCCGCCACAGTAGCCCTTATGGCAAAGCCTGAGTAGTGCTGCCCCATGAATGTTAACAGGCAATTCCCAGAAACACAGAGACATGGAAGCTAGGTTTGCAGCTTTGGAGCTCAAAGTTAGAGAGCTGGTCACTGGGAGCATGACCCTGAGAGGAAGCAGCAAGATGAAGTTTTGGGGACACAGAGTTTGTTGGAGAAACAGGCTGGGGATACCTAAGCAAGGAAACTATCTATTGCTTCTATTGTTTCTATTTACCTTCAAGGAAAAGGGATCTTGTGGGTGCTCTTTGGAGAGAAATAAGACCACACCCAAAATATGCCCAAATATGCCTGACTTCAGCATCCATTTTCTTCTTTAATGGCAACAACTCTGCCACACCCCAAAGACAGTTTACATGCTCAAGCCAAAAAGGCAACAATAGCATGGGTGGCCCTGCACATCTGCTATCTCCATGCCACATCCCTCCCCACCAGTTCTCTTCTGAACCTCTGAAAACCTCAGAACTCCTAGTGGCTCTACCCTTCCCCCCACCCATGAAGACAAGATGCCCATACATGTGGCAGCACTGGCTGCTGACAAAGGAGATCACACACAGCAGATTTATAACAGGTACCACTGGGGAACATTTAAGTTCAGTTTGTAAGAGGAAACCACTGCTGGTTCTATTCCATGAGGAGCTGCTCAGAGTGTAGCAGAAAATCCCTTTTGTACATTTCCCTTCTGGACATTAATATAACAGAAGCCCCTTCTTGCCTGCACCCCCTCCATTTTGTGCATTTCTTTTCCTTCTAAGTATTGGCAGAGTCCTAGCACACTCATTGCATGGGTGTGGCAAGGCTCAGAGTAAGCCAGAAAGCTGAAGTGGCTTTCTGTAGGAGAAACCTAGAAATTACATCTACATATCAATTAAGCTCAGTGTCACTAAAGAAAACAAAGAACTAAAATATCCACTGCAAAGACTGTAAATATATCCTTGTGCTAACTCACTTATTGTCCCCAGTAGTCTTTGATCCTCACTACCTCAAATTGCATTTTTATATATTTCTCACAGTGCATTTTTATATTTAATCTGTCTTGTTTTTACCATGGCATTTTGTATTTTATATTTTATACTTTTAAACCCTTAAAGAATGTACTCCTTGTAGAATGAAGTTATACCCTGGACCATTGTTAAAACTGCATTGAAATTGTAATTGTAAAGTGATAAAATCTGTTATATTGGGCAGTCCCTTGAGTGAATGAGAATGAATGGTGATCATCAGTAGGTAACTAAGTGACAATCAAACTCCATTTTAAGCTAATCAAGCTAAAGAGTTGATTCCTGGAACTAAGCACCCACCCTATTGACTATTCCTGCAACCCTGAACAATGCCATTGTTAATTAATCAAAATCACAAACTGACTCCCAAAACTGCACTACCAGCAGGCAAGACCCCTGTGACTAACAGCTGTCAGGTGCTACTCAAGACCCACATGGGACAGCGACCTCTGGATTGGGTAGCCAAGATGATGCTGGGGGATCACACAAGTCCGCCAGAAAGGGATAAAAGGCAATCAAGTGTGAACCTCAGTGGTGCCCTCTCATCCAGCACCTGACTTACCGAGACAGAAGGACAAGCAGGTGACCCCCTCCTGGAGAAGACATTGCCTTGAAGGAAGCTGACCATCGACAGCAGACTCCAGGGCCTTGGATAGGTAGATATACTGACACCAATGCTCTCAATCACTATAGCAGCTACTATACATGATATTACATGGGTTTGAATGAGTAAATGCATGTGTGTGTGTATGTGCTAAGGTGACCAGTACCACCCATAACTCAAAGTTTGCATTTATGACTTTATTGGTAACTTTACATCCCATCTAATAAACTAGAATTTATTATGATCCCGTGAGTTGGTCCTTTGTAGCCAACAAGAGGACTTTGAGACTCTCATGACTCTTAAGGCAACTTTGAAGTGACTGACTCATGAGTTGTGAACACTTGCAGTTGGCAACATCGAATCTCCACCACAGCCTCTGTCTCCTTTGAGCCTCATGGGAGGAAGGTGCATGAATATGGTTAGAACAAAATACCTTACCTCAGTGGAGGTCTTGCTGCCCTTATTACTGGATGTGCTGGGTGTCCTGGGAGAATGGGGCTTATCAAGACCACTCATGATGACTCACAAGTAGATGTAACTGGGGAGACAAAACAACATTTTTGACGCACAACAGAGCAAGAGGGAACAGGTAATCTAGATACACATTTTTGTCTCTTTATTTTTCCTTTGTAACACTTCTCTCTCCAGAAGATTCCTGGATACCCAGGGTCCACTGTGTGTGAAGAAAATGTCCCTGGTCTGCACTAGCTGGCTGGAACTCTGGGTCACTCTAGAAAGCTAATGATTGATTTCCCCAGTACTAGAAGCTCCTCCCAGTGACCCAGGCATAGGCCAGATCCAGTGAAGGGAAGGGGATAACTGTATCTCTGAATCAACTTAAATGGAACCAGACCCAAGGAGGGGGTCAGAAGGGAAGGGAGCAGCCAGTGCCAAAGAGAAGAAGAGAGAAGGCAGCTCTATGAAGCAGGGTTCTAGTGATGCTGGCTGTTCCCCTCCAGCAGCATATGGACAGAATAACTGCTCCTTTTCTCTCCGCAGACCTTCATCTATGGGCCTGCACAAAGAAGCTTGTTCTAAGCACAGGTCCACTCACACTCACAGCACTAGTACTTTTTGGCAAAGGTTAGGAAAAGAATGGGACAGACAGGAAAGCCTTATGAGAAATATGGTAAATGGGGATATGCTAGGCTCCAAAGTGCTGGGCCGGCATGGCAAAAAGCTGAGAAATGGGAGGGGTTGTTGTTGATAACTGGCATCCTCACTTTTGTCTGTGGTTAATTAGTGTTTAGGGGATGCCACTGCTGCCCCTTCGTGGATGCTGCTTTGTCTGAGAGGGTCGCTGAGAGGAACAGCAGGGTACCTGGACTGGAAGGAATGGGATGCTACATCATAGCTGCTTCTACTGCCTCTGGGGACCCCTCAGTCCACCACAGCACCTTTGTTATCCTCATTTGAAAATGGTCATCAAGCAGTTCAAAGGACTGGAGCCAAAGCAGATCAATGATAATATAGGCTGTTAGCTGGTATCAGCTAATGTAAGAGGTTTCTATTGCTTGTACCGCCCCTTCTGTGCTGTCTCCCTCCTCTGAATCATTTCTTTGTTTTCCTAATCAGAGTTTGTCTTTACTGCCAAGACAACAAAACAAAACACACACTTTAACAGAATGACATAAAAAAACATGTTTGCCAGGCTTTTCTGGAAGTGAAACTTCCAGGAAGTCAGCACTAGAGACAGGAGTTGCATTTCCTCTGCCTCTCACATTTTGTGTGAATTTATTATAAAGAAGAAACAGGACTGGACTTCATCAAAAATTACTGCTGCAGCTTCTCCTAGCTAACACTTTTTCTTTTATTCAAAGAACAGTTAATACTATTTTTAAAATCATTAGAAAAGACTGTCAGACAGAGGGTTCCCCCTGAAAGTCTCTTCACAGCTAAAGAATGAGGGAGAGAACAGAACCACACCGGCTGAATCCCCGAATCCGAATCGAATCAGGGGATCAACTAAAAGGTCTGAATCGATTTGAAGCTCTCCAAATCTATATGGAAAAGGTTTGGAGAGCTACAGAAATTCAGGCAGGCCCCGCTTGCTGCAGCAGGGAGATGGACCCAGATTCCATGCAGGTAAGTAGAGGGCAGGGAAGGGGGGCTGGAGGAGGGTGGAGGGGACCATAGGGGGACCCCTGCCAGGCCCCATCCCCTGCCTGCTTCCCTAGCCCCCCTGAGCACTCCGCATCCACTGTCCTAGCTCCCCCATGGCTGCCCTGCCTGCCCCAGCTCCGGCCCATTAAAAAACAAAAAAACCTTGACTCACCGGCTGCTGCC